TAGGCTAAACCCTTGGTGCTTTTGGACGGTGGTGGTCAACAGGTTTCATCCGGTCGTAGATGAACAACTTGTGCATGTGCTTGCCTTGGTCACGTAAATCTGGCGCAGCGGTGCACGAGATAGAGGTGTATGGTGGTATTACGAGTTGACATCGAAATTCATTCCTAGAGGTGTTGTATTTTGAGACTTGCTCCATTCATTAGGTCACATATCTCTCAACACTCAACTCATGGATTATGCATGGTCCACCATTATAAGGTTTGTGCTAGGATTATTGAGATGGTGGTGTGAGACTGATTCTACATTGATGGCCCTGGGTTTTCTCAAACCGATTTATTCATTGTCAATGTTTGACATTACTTTTGATAATAAATAGTAGTAATATATAACTTATATGAACCAATCGATATGGCCGCTAAGGGGTTATCCTCCTTGGAAACAATAACTCCCACCTAGTGAGAGTCATAGAAACAAAATAGGTTAGGAGAGTTGGGGGACTCCGATGGATGTGGAAAGAGGGATGAACAATGAAACAGCTAAATGAGGGAATGCTCTCCCTTGATGATTGCCACTATTAACGAGTGTCATTGCAGACCGGCTAGCCGATTGATGATGGCTATGTAGAGTTGGCCGAATTGTTGAACAATGCAGCCCTAGCTACACTATACACACATACACAAAGCACATATATGTAGTCACATTCACACATTGCATATCACTAGCAAAACAGCCCATGCGTTGCAACTGGAGAAAAAAAATTCATAATCTCCAATGGCCATGACCACATTTGGCTGCATCACCGAGATATACTATCACTATCCTTTTCGGGAAATTGTGAACAATTTTTGAAAAATCATGAATATTCGGGAAATTGTGAATAAAAACCGTGAACATATCTGAAATCGTGAATATTTCAAATTCATGAACGCTTTTACCGATTTCCATACATTTTCTAAAATCATGAACAGTTTTTTAATTCATGAACATTTATACTATTTTCAAACATTTTTTAGTTATTTTTCTTCAATAGGCGAATATTTCCAGAATCGACGAACATTTTTTTGGAAGTTGCTTGGTGGAACAATTTTTGAAATTCGCGAATATTTTTTGGTTTAGCAAACATTTTTTAAAATCCATGATCATTTTTTAAATTAGTGAATATTTTATGAATCAAAAAACTATTTTGTAAGTCACAAACGGTTTTTGAGCTCTTAGGATATTTTTCAATTCATGAATATTTTTTGAATTAGCGAAATTTTGTTCAATTTCATTAACATTTTTATTACACGTCCTTTAAAAAAAATCATGAACATTTTTAATTTCCCAAACATTTGTTTTCAGAATTTTGAATATTTATTGTATATGCAAACATTTTCTGAATCCATAAACATTTATGAATTATTAAGAAATTTATTTCAAAATTCTCATTTTTTTATTTTTTGGTTTTTTAAATCATGAATTATTTAAAGTAGAAAAACGAAGATGAAAAAGGAAAATAAAAAATAAAAATCAAAATTAAGAAACAGGCCTCCCGAACATGGGCTGGCCCAAAGAAGTGTTGTGTCTTCTCCCAGCACGCTGAGCGCGGTATAGAAGGTTCCTACTTGGGTCGGCCGAGGTGGGTATTCCCCATTGTGAATGTTTTTTTATCACTTATAGGTGGCATCATTGGATAATATTTTACAACTATTGGAGCAAATTTGATGACATACCGCGAGAAGCAATAGCTCTTTATTATTAGGTATAGATAAACGACTGACAAACATATACAACCCAAATATACATTTCATACAATTATATTCATTTATACCATTAGTCACATGCATCTTGCATATATACAATATCCATGTCATTGCATACATGTACATTCATGTACAACACAAGAATAAAGCAAACTTTGTGCCTTTTCAGTCCCGTGCAACCATCTGGGTTCGTTCTCCGACTAGCGCAGTCCATGTCTGGCGCGTCAACTAATAGAGCGAAAAGTCATCGGTACCCTTGGTATGGTGCCTAGCATGACCGGATGTACCAGGATGGGGCCCACACACAAAAGTTATCAGGTTCGGGCCTCCGATGAGGGGTAATACACTACATTCCGCTTGTTATTGTTATTCAAGGTGGGTTTATATACCTCGCGTGAGGGATTATTATAGAGTTTACATGTCTACCAAGAGTTTGTTCTATCAGATTCCATTGGATGGAGAGCTCCCTAGCCTCCCCTTATAAACATGGTGGAGGGTAGGGTTTACAGAGAGAGATGCAATTGGGGCATGTTTGGTTTCTTGCCTCGCACCTGCATCGCACCCACCATGCAATTTTTGCAACGTTTGGTAGGCTGCGCGTCGTTCTGGGCTAGGCCCGACTGATGAAAAATAGCCCCCCAGCCAGGCTGAGCTCGCATGCAAGTTTCGGCCGTTTTCGCGAGCTTGCATCCGCGCATGCACCCACGCCCGCACCCACGCGAGCGAAGAGGGCTAGGGTTTCTCTCCCTGTCGATCCACACCCGCATTCGCGCCGCTCTCACCACCCCTCTCCTCTCTCCGGTGAACGGATCTCGTCGCTCTGTCCCCTCGTGGGCATGTCGCCGGCGCGCATCCTCTCCGCGTAGAGGTTGGACTCTCCTCCTCCCATCCCTCTTCCATCTGTCCCCATCCCTCACGGATCCCTCTCATCTCTCTCTGCCACCGCGCTGCTGCTTCTACCGATGCGGATGTGAGCAGGCAGCTAGGCGGGATGCTGCCGTTCCCTGTATGCGTTTTGGTCGGAGCCGAGCTCCCGGCCAAGGCCACGCGTGGCCGGCGTGGGCGTGTTTAGGTTGGAGCCGAGCTCGCAGCCATGGCCGCGGTGGCCATGGGAGCTACTCCCCTCGCTCATGTACAGACACGACACCCACACGCACACATGCGTGTGCTCACGCGTTCACCCCTGCCCTCCACACAGATGCAACCCATTGCCGGGATGCACATGCATCCCGTCGCTCCTGTACAGGCCCTGTCCTGAACCTCCTCTCCTAGATCTGTGTGATTAGCATGCATCTATGTGAGCTATTGGGCTAGTAAATTTTTTTATTATCATGGATCTATGTGAGCTAACTTGTGGAAATTACAAGGAATCTGTAGGTAGGAAAGAAAAGTGCATATATTTGTCAGCTAATTTTTTGATTATCATAGATCTATGTGAGTTAACTTCCTGAACAATTTGTTCATGTATTTATTTTGTTTTGATGATACAAATAATGTTAATATTATCAGTTCCCATGCCTTTATTAATTTATAAATATGTGCTAAATTTATATAGATGGATGACAACGGCAAGACCCGAGATACGTTGATAGTGCAAGTTGCTGGTTTGGTTGTTGTTTTGTGTGCCTATATGGCCACAATAACTACAAGGGCTAGAATTAGAAACTATCGTGCTCCAATTTGTTACGTTATGCTTGAGAGAGACGCAGCTACATTGTCCAATCTACGTTTTATCTATGAAACCAATGATATAAATTGCCATGACCTACTAAGGATGAACATGGCCCCATTTTATAACTTGTGTAACTTGTTTCGTGATCGGAAATTGTTGGAAGACAACATTCATACCTGCATTGAGGAGCAGCTTGCGATGTTCCTTCTTGTAGTTGGGCACAACCATAGGTTTAGGGCAATGAAACCCATATTTAGGAGGTCAATTGAAGTAATCAATCGATACTTCAAGGCAGTTTTATATGCAATTGGGGAGTTGCGTGATGAGATAATCCAGCCCCCTTTCAATGATGTTCATCCAAAAATCCTACACGTAGGTGCCTCTATCCCTACTTTAAGGTAATACTTTACCATTTAGAATTCTATGGACATGCCGGATAACCCATATTTTACAAAAATATACCTCACCTCTTCTCTTAGGATCGTGTTGGTGCAATTGATGGCACCCATGTTGCTGCCAAGGTACCAGCTGCTATTGCTTCGGCATTTAGGGGTCAGAAAGGTGGCACCACCCAAAATGTGATGGCTGCGGTTGACTTTGACCTTAAGTTTACCTATGTGTTAGCTGGTTGGGAAGGGTCGGCCCATGATGCACTCATTTTGGCTGATGCTTTGGAAAGGAATGATGGATTTGTTGTCCCTGCAGGTATTAGTGAACCATTTTTAGTGGCTTTTGATCACTTAAAACTATTAGTAGTAACACAACACATGACCTCTTGTTTGTTAGGAAAATTCTACCTCGTGGATGCGGGCTATGCCGTGAGGCCAAGGTTTCTTCCACCATATAGGGCTACTCGCTATCATCTTACTGAGTTTGGTGAACGTGTCCCTCAAAACGAGAAGGAATTATTCAACCTCCGCCACTCCTCATTGAGGATCACGATTGAGAGGGCGTTTGCAGCTTTCAAGAACCGGTGGAGAATTGTGGACAACAAGCCTCACCACCCTTATCCCTCACAAGTCAAAATCATCCTAGCTTGCTGCATTCTTCATAATTGGATACTTCAGCGGGGAGAGGATGAGTTTGTACCACCTGAGCACACTTGGACTGGAAATCCAGCATCGGATGGTGTGCTTGACATAGAACATGATAATAGAACCCGGTCACAAATTAGAGATGGTTGGGCTGGGCATATGTTTGCCAATAGGGGCATTTCACGTGTGTAGAGCTCAAGTGTAGAGCTCAATTCTATATTGTAATGTATTGTGTATAATTCTACCATGTAGAGCTCAAGTGTAGAGCTCAATTCTATGTTGTAATGCATTATGAATAATTCTGTCATGTACCCAAATTGAAACATTTATGTCTTATTTGCTACCTTATGTTGCTGTTTGAGCTCCACTTTATTTCTGTTTATTGGTTCTTTACTTCTATTTAATTATGTTTAGACTTGATATAAAATTTTATTCTCTTATGTAATCATTTTTCCTTTCCTTTTGTTTGTTCTGTACATAGGAATGATGGCTGAGTTGGCGGCTGATGGTGGGCATGGCGGTGGGAATCACCCATTGCGCTGGACATCTCCAATGTCTGGGTTCATGTTACGTCGCTTTGTAGAGCTCATTGCTAGTGGAGCAAAGACGGAAAAGGGCTTTAAGGAGGTGCACCTAAACCAGGTGGCTAAGAATTGTAGTGATCACTTTGGTGTTTCCATAACCGAGACCCAAGTGTACAACCACCTCCGCAAGTGGCGTGCTAGGTGGGTGAAGATAAGTAGGCTCCGAGGCATTAGTGGGTCACTTTGGGATGATAACAACTATGCCATATTGCTGGAGAAAGAGCACTACATGGGCCATATCAAGGTTTGTACTAGCTTTTAGTGGCTGATCAGTAGCTATTTAATTACATATGCTCATAGAATTACTTATGCTCATAGAATTACTTACGCTTCATGTAGGACCATCCTAAAGATGTTGAGTACCTCAATGTGCCTTTAGAGAATTATGTTCAGATGCTTTCTATCTTGGGAAGTGGTATTGCTACAGGAAGGTATGCAATGACATCTAATGAGGCTCTTGGGGTTCCTTCAATGGTGGGAACCTCCTCATCATTTGTAAACCTTGAAGCTTGTGGTTCTGAATTTGTTGTGGATGGGAATGAACCTAGCTTGAGTGCTACTGCTGCTGCTCATGGGGAAACTGCTGCTGCTCCTTATCGGAAGCAACCATGTAAGGATGCGTCTAGCTCCACTAGCAAAAGGAAGAGGGCTAGCTTGATGAGTGAAGAAGAAGTCTTGGTCATGAGCAACATGTCTGAAGCAGTCCGTGAAGTTGCTATTGCTATCAAGTCCACCCACTACAAAAAAATACACTTCCGTGATGATACGTGTTTGTCACAGTAGGTCGCGTTTTTTTGTCATGCATGTACATCCATGACAATTTTATGACAGAATCAAGATAGTCATACCTATGCTGTCGTAGAAGTGTTCCATGACATTACCAAAATTATCATCACGGAAGTGTGCACTTCCATGACGATAAATCGCGCGTCACAGAAGTGCTTTCGTCAAGGGTGACCAACACGTGGCATCCACCATAACGGAACACCGTTAACCTATCGGGTCGGGTTTTGGATCCGATGACCCGTTAACAGCCCCGACCAATTGGGATTTTCCACGTGTAAAATCATCATTGGCTAGAGGAAACACGTGTCGGCTCATCGTTGGGATAGATGTCATCCACTCATTGGACAGAAGGCGCCTATGATACGTCAACACGTGGCACGGCCCAACAGAGGCCCATTCCTGTGAAAAGGCTGGCCCGTTTGACTTGGTCAAAAGGTGGCGGGCCGGCCCATGGAAAGCCTGTTAACGGCCTGTTCGCATATAGCCCATTTACAACCCGCTAACCCAAGGCCCGTTACACCCTATCCAAATTAGGTCCAGTAGCGCTATTTGGGCCATCCAATATGATTCCAGCCCGTTTTCACTTCTGGCCCATGTATGGCCCATGACGTCTTTCAGCCCATATGAGGCCCTATGTAAGTCTTGGCCTATTAATGGCCCATGGTGAAACTGGCCCGTAATGAACAGTGTACCACTTTACACCCATTAACGGCTCGTGGTTAAACTGGCACGTAATGAACAGTGTATCACTTTATACCCATTAATGGCCCGTTATTCCGTTGGGCCATTTCCAGCCCATGTTATCTTTCGACCTTCTAAGAGCCCATTTATTCTTGGGCTCATTTCCATCATTCGTTTACTTACGGCCCGTTACTATCATTTTTTGCTTGTGGGCCAAATTCAGCCCGTGGTTACAGTCGGCCCATTTGTGGTCCGTTAATACGTTGGGCCGTTTTCATAGCGTCATCAAATACGGCCTATTAACCATGGCCCGTTATGGTCGGCCCATGAACGGACGATTCCAACTCTAGCCCGTTTATGGCCATAATGCAGCCTGTTATTGGCCCATGTTTGGCCAATCGATCATACGACCCGTATAAGGCCCATTGATGATATGGCCCGTAGAAGGCCCATTGATGATACGGCCCGTAGAAGGCTCATTGTTTCTATGGCCCGTAGAAGGCCCATTGTTTCTACGACCCGTAGAAGGTCTACTGTTTCTACGGCCCGTAGAAGGCCCACTGCTTCTATAGCCCGTAGGAGGCCTAGTGTCACTACATTGAATATTAGCCCATGGTTATTGTGGCCTAGTTTTAAAAATAGGTTATTGCAGCCACTAGCAAACCGCGGAAAAAGAACTGCACTGACTACAAGCAAACAAATAAACAAGACAACAATGAAATAAATAAGCAAGCAACTTATGCTAGGCTATCACGGCTATTACACATATTACATCCACTGGGCATCAAAGTTCGCCACCAGTGCAAATATAGGGAACAAAGCAGCATATAAACGCCGCAGCAAAACAAGTCCAGAACTGAAACCACTTTAGAAGAGTTCAAGAAACAATATCCTGGGTACCCATAATGCTGGCAAGATGCTTAGCAAGCTTATTAACTTTCTCTTGTTTGGCGCTTAAATCCTCCAACGCTTGCTGTTGCACAAGGAAGTACGCATCTGAATTCTGCAGGGACTTCCTCGGTCCTTCGGCTTCTTGCCGTAGCACAGCTGACTGATGCCTTTCAGCTTGTAGCTGAGACTGAAGAAGCCGAAGTGATTCAGGAAGCGAGTTCGAAGAGCTTGTGCCAGCGATACTGGCCAGTAACTCGAGCACTACATCAACGTAGGACTGTGGGGTTTTCTCACTGTCTACAAGATCATTTTTATCACCTTTCTTGGAGACCAACATGGTTGTCTCACTATCTTGAACCTTATCTGCATTACTTTCTCTACCATTGCATAGTGGACTGCCTGCTCCCTCCTCCCCACGGCCGGCCGTGCTGCCGTGCAGGCCTCATTGCCCCACCGTACTCCCATCGCTGGCCTAGCCATCCCTCTACTCACCCACACCTGCTGTTATTCTCCAGTGACGACAGACGAACCAGTAAACCCTCATACAGTCATACTCCCCTTCGCGTGAGAAACAACTGCAGAGTCTTCCCTGCCTCTGTGTCGTTCCCTTCCTAGGCCTCGCCATCGTCCATCGTCCTGGTGCTCTCGGCGCGGCTTGGTCAACATGGTCAACGACCGACATGCATCTGAAGTGGACTGTACGTGGAGAGGCCGACAGCTAGGTCCACGGCCGCATGCAAGGAAATGCCTCCTTATTACGCGCAAAATAATGATTCCTCCACCTGACATCAGGGACCCACCGAAAGGGCCTCTGTATTTCGCAAAAAAAACGTTACCGCCTCTATATCTTCGCACGCAAGGAAGTGCCTCCTTATTACGCACAAAAAAATGAATGCTCCCCCTGTTAGTTGAGACCTAGTATAGTGGCAGGCTGACTTGTGGGCCTACTAAGTTGACGGAGATGGAGGGCTTTGTCAACTTAGTCAATATGCACGATTCTAGCTCCAGTGACCGTACAATGTCCATCCAACGGCCGTAGTGCTTCTTCAACCTCTGGTCTTCTTGCTCCAGCCGCCCAAACCAGCGCCGGCCGTGCCACGTGCTCCTGCCTCCCGTGGCTGGCTGCGATGCGGCGGAGGCCTCACCGCCCCCTACTACTCCCACCGTTGGCCAGGCCATCCCTCTACTCACCCACACTCTCTGTTATTCTGCAGCGACGGCAGCCTCACACCGCAGCGAACCAGTGAACCCTCGTACTCCTCTAGGCATGGACATCCACTGCCGCGTCTTCCCCGGCTCCGCGTCATCCCCTTCCTAGGCCTCACCGTCGTCCACCGCCCTGGTGCTCTCGGCGCGGCGTGGTCAAGGAACGGCTTCCATCGGACGTGGACTGTACATGGAGAGGCTGACAGCTGGGTCCACGGCCGCAACAAGGAAGTGCCTCATTATTACGTGCAAAATAATTATTCCTCCACCTGACAGTGGGGACCCACCGGACGGGCCACCGTATTTCGCAAAAAAAACATTTGCCCCTGACTGCTGGGACCCACCAGCTACATCTTCGCACGCAAGGAAGTGCGTCCAGGCAAAAAAAAAAATGATTCGCCCTCCTGACTGCTGGGACCCACGAGCTACATCTTACAGGCAAGGAAGTGCCTGACAGTCAGGACCCACCTGGTCGAAGCGTACGTAGTGTTGTCATTCTAGTCGTAAACGTGTATGTACGTATATACTGGTGGATGTAGAGGCGCGCACGTGTCGTAGTAGAGGCGCGTACGTGTCGTAGTAGAGGCGCACACGTAGCATGTACACGTACGTACAACGGCTAGGGTGCAAGAAAGAAAATACGGCCACATATGTGTACATACGGGCAGGGTCTCGAACGCCTACTCGCGCATACGTACGGCCAGGGCTCGTGTACATGGCTGGGTCGGAATGGAGAAACAACGTCATCGTCGTGTTCATGGGGAGGCAACAGAATGCGTCGTGTTCATGGGGAGGCAACAAAATGGGTCGTGTTCATCGGGAGGCAACGGAACGCGTGGGAGCCAACCGGTTGGGTCGGAACGGAATGCGTGTCATGTTCATCGGGAGGGCTTGGACGGAACAGGCGATGGAAACGAGGCCTAGCGTACCGCATAACAGAGGAAACGGACCTCCTACGTTCGGAATGGGGTCCTGTTGATTGGGAGGGGTTTGGCGTATCGCAAAACGGAGGAAACGGACCTCCTACGGTCGAAACGGGGGTCCTGTTGATCGGGAGGGGTGTGGCGTACCGCAAAACGGAGGAAACGGACCTCCTATGGTCGAAACAGGGTCCTGTTGATCGGGAAGGGTGGGGCGTACCGCAAAACGGACGAAACGGACTTGTGTTGGAGCGCTACGGTCGAAACGGGGGTCCTGTTCATCGGGAGGGGTGTGGCGTACCACAAAATGGGACTCCACGGGATACTGTTCATCTCCACCGTCGACCTCCTCCAGCCTCCACGGGCTACCGTCGACCTCCTCCAGCCTCCACAGGCTCCTGTTCATCCAGCCTCCACCGCGCGCTACTCCACCGGCTACTGTTCAACCACCCCTCCACCGTCTACTATTCATCCAGCCCTCCACACCACGGGGTCCTGTTCAACCACCCCTCCACGGGCACCCCTCCACCGTCTACTGTTCATCCTGCCCTCCACACCACGGGTCCTATTCATCCACCCCTCCACGGGCACCCCTCCACCGTCTACTGTTCATCCAGCCCTCCACCACACCACGGGGTCCTGTTCATCCAGAGGCAACGCCACCGCTCACTGTTCATCCAAACCCCCCCGCAACGCTCACTGTTCATCCCAGAGGCAGCATCGATCGGCTTCAGTTAGCAGCAGTAGCAAAGGAATCGCTCGATCGGGTTCAATTAACAGCCATCGATCGATCGCTCGGGTTCAGTAACGCGTAGCCTGCAGTGCAATCGCTCGGGTTCAGTTAGAGCCCAACGCCTCGCTCGGGTTCAGTTAGAGCCAACGCCTCGCACACACGGAGAGGATAGGATGATGGAGACTATGATTCTCCCACAAGTCAGGACGAGACTCCGGACGAAAAAAAGAGGCCATAAAAAAGAGAAGGCCCAAACAAACAAAAAATGAGAGAAAAGAGAGAAGGGACAATGTTACTATCGTTTTACCACACTTGTGCTTCAAAGTAGCACTGTGATCTTCATGATAGAGAGTCTCTCATTCTGTCACTTTCATATACTAGTGGGAATTTTTCATTATAGAACTTGGCTTGTATATTCCAATGATGGGCTTCCTCAAAATGCCTTAGGTCTTCGTGAGCAAGCGAGTTGGATGCACACCCACTTAGTTTCTTTTGTTGAGCTTTCATATACTTATAGCTCTAGTGCATCCGTTGCATGGCAATCTCTACTCACTCACATTGATATCTATTGATGGGCATCTCCATAGCCCGTTGATACGCCTAGTTGATGTGAGACTATCTTCTCCCTTTTTGTCTTCTCCACAACCACCATTCTATTCCACATATAGTGCTATATCCATGGCTCACGCTCATGTATTGCGTGAAGATCGAAAAAGTTTTGAAAATGTCAAAAGTATGAAACAATTGCTTGGCTTGTCATCGG